TAGGGTCGCCCGCATCGAAAAGTAACGGGCACTGGAAAGTTTTATTATTTGGAAAAGTGGAACGTGTATCCTTGATCTGCCGGTACCTACGGCGGTGAACGAAACTAAAGCGATTTTATAGTCACGCATAAGTCGACCTATCGTGAGAGTATCGCGACCTGACTGTTTCTCGCTTGACCGGCCATGTCATACGGATCGGCGAACCTGACGTGCGGCTTTCAAAGCTATCACCTTTTTTTCGGAAATCGTGAAACGTGAAGAAAATTAAGATCGGAATATTGCCGATGAGTCAGCCGTTTGATCTAAACCGACTTCGTTGTTGTCTTCTCCGCTGCCGATCTGGCGACTGTCGTCATTAAACGCGTTGTCCTTGAACATCGCGTCTAATAAATGATTTATTGCACGATCACTCGAGGTAAATTTATTTCTTTAGACAGACCTCTCCGACTGATCAAACCGGCTTGCTGATCGACATTCGATATGTAGACGAATCATTATTGCGTCTGGTATACTTACGCACGATTGTAATCATTGTAATGATTGTAATCATTGTTGTATCAAATAACTGTTTCTCACAACGTAAATTTTGAAAAAGATTTTCAACTCCCAATACTATATTTTTATTATAAATTCACTAGTTTTGTCAATTATATAACAAATATTGCCCGAGAATGCTAAAATTAATAGTCAAGTGCGAAATGTAATAAGTTACAAGTTTGACAGAGGCCGAATAAGCATAACGGCGGGTCACTTTTTTTGCTACTAATATACTACTTCATCGAGCCACTTGAGAGTCATTGAAGGATGCTCACAGTTTGTAGAGACCCTCAAGCGCGTACGTGTGTGCGCGAATTGCCGTAGATCCGACGGAAGAGTTAATTTCGCAATTTTCAAATTTCAGATGTGGATTACATAACGGGTGACAATTTCTTCGATGTGCTCGATAATGGAGTGATTGTGTGTCGACTGGCAAGGGTCATTCAGGAAAAGGCGAGATCCGCGATAGAGGCCGGACGGGCGAAAGGAGTAAGTATATTATCGTTCATCGAGCTACTTCTTAGCTTGAACTTTATATTTTTGCACTAGCAAAGTGTAATCTTTATTACGAAAAAAAATTTTGTATAGTATTCTATTGAATGCAATATGATATTCAGTTATTAAAATTTGTAATGAAAGAAATTCTGTGACCTGGAAAATTCTGTAGAAAATTTGTTTTACCGTTATAGTAAAGAATTTTATGCTTTCTATTTGCAAGAAACACGGTGAAATGTTAATTACAGACGGTGCCAGTGATACGAGGTCGCTGTTGGGAGAATGCTGCGCGCCGCAGCTTCTTTTCCCGCGACAACATGGAGAACTTTATACAATTCTGTCGGCGACTGGGCGTCCACGAGAATCTTCTCTTCGAAAGCGACGATCTCGGTAAAGTCTCGCGCAATTAATTTTAATGCATGTGAATTAAATAGGGGCGGTACGCGCCGCAATTCGTTCTATCGGATGACTTTCAACTAGACGAGAATTTAAGTGCGTAAGTTGATGGATGATAATTAGCGGAACTACAATAATTGACCGGCACAATCCCGCGGTGGACGCGCGTGCAGGAATGTATATCGCATAAATTGCGCATCCAACGCGTGGTATGCAAATCCGGAGTAGCCGCGAAGTGAGAGTGAGCGTCGCACGGATTGCGCGCGATTTCGAGGAAAGTGGAGCGAATCCGCGGCTCTTCACTGGCCGGCGGGACGCTTTCTCACTTGACCAAGTTTAATTGTCGCTGAAAACAATGCGCGTGCGGTTACATAAATGACATAATCGCGTGATTGAGTGTAGCGAAAAGCCGGTTTGAAAAAAACCTGCACTTTTTATCGCGCGACAGTAAAAGCGTCGGGCTGAAGAAAATAAATATCAAAGACTAATACTAAGCTAATAAAAATGCATAGAAAATAAATGTCAATGGTAATGTATGTAATAAAATTTTATGTATCTGGCCACAATGCACATGGAATGGCTTTATGTCTTTACAGTCCTGCATGGCCAGCCACGAAATGTAGTGCTGTGTCTACTGGAAGTCGCGCGATTGGCGGCCAGATATTCTCTGGAGCCGCCCGGACTGGTGCAACTCGAGAGGGAAATCGCGGCGGAACAAGAAAGGGATCTTCACTGTATGTCTGACAGCGGTATATCTCACAGCAGTCTCTCTTGGCAATTCCAATCGCCGTCACCGACCGCGACTCCCATACCGCCGTCGGAGAAGATCAAACACAGCAGGTAACTGACATAAGTCGCAATATCAAAGTCTTTCAAGAATGAGAACATATTCTCGCGTTTGTCTATTCGCTCCGATCCATCGATTCTGCAACTTATTTTTCAATACTGTGCTTGCAACGTAACGGTGGATAAATTGCGGATGCGAATATGTTGAGGGAAGAAACCGAAACTTAACCGTTATAGAAAACATAATAGGTTCTCTCGCATAATTTCTGTTTCGCTTATGCGCACCGCATTTGGAATAATGTCGAGAGCTTCACATGTACTTTGACTCTTTAGGACAATAGATTTCCCCGTCGGTTTAATAGCCATTAGTTGAATGGGCAATTCTGAGAGGTGTTACCGAGAAGACCTCGAGTCGTGTCGTAACGCAATTCTACAGGAGTGGCTGAATTTTATAGCACGCAAAGCTTACGATGCGCATAGAGGTGTTATAATAGTCGTTATATTATGCTGTATAGTCGAGAACACTGTTCGCGCTGTTTAACTATTTAGATAAAGTTTATCTTTCCCGTTTACGTCGTTTTTACTATATTCTTGAGAAGGTTTTTGCTGTAGAAGAATTTTTCCAAGAGTGCATAATATCCGAATTTTACCGAAAAGTTCTACATGCAAATATGATACTTTGCTAATATTTTTAATTTCAAACCGTGAAAAATATATTTCGTGTTACTTATTTCCTGATTTTTCTTTGTTCCGAATTATAATCGAATTGTGGCGATTTAAAATATAAAAATGTATATTTTAAATCTGTCATTGACGTTCTCAAAAAAATTTTGTGAGAGCGTATGAAAGTTCGACGTAAACCGAAATACATTCTAGCTCGGCGTCCGAAGTTACGGCGACGGATACGCGATGGTTAGACCCGGTGAGTGGAGCTACGCACGAACCTGAAATGCGAAGATCCGTTAGCGACAACGGCCCGACTGGAAGTGACGGTGTGCCGAGCGATACTACCGAGGATGACTGGTCCCGCGGCAGCGCCGAGGATCCAGACGAAGTGCCGTCGCCATCGAGTTCGCCATCGCCATCGTCTGCCGAACCACCGGAGCACACTGGTCCGATAACAGAACTCGATCGCAAGGTATTAATGAAATATGCGAAAAAAGTGTCTCGCAAAATATTTCAGCTATAAATCCTCAGAAGCGCCGAATTCAGTTGCAATTCTGCATAAATTTTCTCTGTTTAGTTATTGGGATTATCTTCTTATCGGCTGCATCGTAATTATCATATTTAATCATTTCTAACGAGAAGCGAATTATCAAGAATTAATTTTTCCCTCGGGTTTTCTCCGATATTCAGGGATTAAAACAATATTATGCAACCGCTTGTTTCCGCATCGCATAACGGAAAATTGAATAATTTATGTGTTCCTTATAAATGTTAATGTGTACTTCACCGTCCTCACACCCGCATGTTTCAGTTCGGTATCTTCGCGTATCTCGTGCGTGTCGTTGAGAAAACCTTGGGCCTCTGGGTTGTTACAGCCGTCGCGCTGCATTATAATCATTATCGTGCAAGAGAAAAAAAAATGTACGAAGAAGGAAGGCACAATGGGAATCGGCGTTTCCTCGTACACGCTTTCCACGCACGCATCTGCGCGCGTTGCATCGAATTCCTGCATGCCTAGCGGCGGAAGTTACGCACCGGTGTATCTTCGGCTCTTTGCTCCACGCTGCGACGACACGTCGGAGCGATTTATCTCGCGTGACAGTCGATCGTTCTTCGTCCGTCCGACAACAACGGAGAGACGGCGAGCCGGGGCGCAAAAAACGCCCCTCTAAATATACTCCGCGTCCTTTCGCGATTCAAGCGCGACTCTTAGGATCTCCCGCATCGCGTGCTCCTTCTTATTTTCTCTTTACAGGTGCGAAGAGCCACCGAGGCTGTACAGAGACTTTGCCAATGCCCGTCGGAGAAGTGCTCGAAACTGAAGGTCCGCAAAGTCGGCGAAGGTCGTTATCATATCGCTGGGCGTAACGTCTTCATCAGAGTACGTATAATATATCTTTACCATAAAATGATCGCAATTTATCAGAAATTTGAAACAATCAAAATTAAATAATACCAATTTTATAAAAATCTTGAACGAAAAAGCCAAATCAACTCTTGCTTAATATTTTAAATTATTTCCCGAATAGAACTGTACCCTATTCTTTGAGTTTTCCTCGAGAGTCTTCCTATTCCGAGCAATTCTCGAGACCTCCTTCCGTTTTTCTTTATTCATAACATGTCGCGATAGCCTCGTGAACGTGCCAGCCGCTTAATGATCGCGCCGCTGACGTGTTCGCAGCTTCTCAAGGGCCGGCACATGATGGTAAGAGTGGGCGGCGGGTGGGACACCCTGGAGCATTTCTTGGCGCGGCACGACCCCTGTCAGGTGAGGGTCCTCAACCGCGAGGGCACGCCGCCTCTCGCTCGCGGCACCAAGCACGACAGCTTCCTGCACATTCGCGCTAAGTATCGCAGCGCGCCGTCGGATACGAGCCTCTCACGTCGATCGCTAGCCTAAAGAGCACACGTGCCTAATCGTACGACCCTTGGGATCTCCCCTCCCCTTCGCGTAAGCTGTTCGCACGCGTGAGGCACATGCGAATTGACATCTCTATACGGCGGCACCGCTATCGTATCTCGTCGCATCCCACGGAAGCACTCGATACACCAACCCGATAAACACGTCGGTAGACGATCCGTTAAATGACGCGACGAAACGCGGCGGCTCGACTTACCGCAAGAACGATAATTTGCGTGATTTCGCGCACGATACATTCCTTCCTTCCAACTACACTCAGTGAGTCGGCGATTTTGAGGGGAGAAAAACGCGCCACGGGCCGCTTAAGAGCTTGCGGTCACTCAAGCACATTCCGATATTCGTATGTTAATGCTATTTGCGAGTTCTGTCCGGCGGCGAAATCACTGACACGCACCGCCTACGCCAATCTGCAACGATGCCTCTTCCACGATCGTACCTACTGTACACCTCGAATTGTGTCAAGCGCATACACTTGTCGATCACGGTGTAGAGACGCACACGGATCACTATTTTTATTACGTCGTATCAAGGTGGTTGACGAGCATGCATGTCGAAGTATATCCTGACAGACGTGTATGCGATAAGCCGCTATCTTTCATGAGAAAGCGGCAACGAATAGTCCAAGTTCCGTGTACAAGATATTAAGCTTCGTATAACTGAGGAATCTTTGGCTGTTCGACAACGTCATTGACGAATTTACAATGTGCTTCCACCTTAGATTTACCTCTTCAGGTGACTAACATACTCAGCGTATGTCCGGAAATTTTTCGGCGCGTTTTAAAAAGTGTGCACTCGGTAGTGGTAGTGTTAAGATCGCAATGACCAAATTTTATTTTCAAAACTGTGTCCGTCACAATATAATCATTATACTAATAATAAAAAATAAATTATAATAGTAATTTCTTAATGAATGTCCATTTAAACTCAAACGTACTGCGTTTGTATGTGCAATAAAAAAAAATAAAAGTGCAATTAAAATCTCAGGTAGAAAATCGTCCGTATAAACATGTCATGCCTTAAAAAGATCAATTTATCTTTTCTTAACAAAATTAGTGCGTTTGCAATATTAATATATTCGTTTTTTTTTTTTCAAAGAATCATTGCCAATTTTACAAAGGTTTTAAAACTAGGTGCAAATATTGCTACTTTTTATTATTATTATATAATTTTCGGTATTGCATTGTTTTGGTCATTGCTATATCCTACAAATCAATATATTCTTATAGTGCACTGTCATTTTACGACAAGCACAATAGTAAAGCACTTATAATAATTGTACGGGGTCGGCCTAATTTTCTCTATATTAAATTCAATATTTGATTATATAGAACAACATATATTAAACTCGATAAGTAAATTTTTTGCGTAAATTTGCATAAATTTTATTTCATATCGATATTCACGAGAACCGCATAGTTATCTATTCTCAAAAAATGATATATTTGTGCTTTTTTCAAGAATTCCCTAAAAAACATTATCAATTTTTAGTTGCTGCATTTTGATTATATTTTTTTGCCAATTTACGATTTTATCTTAGCCAGCCCTGAAATTTATCAGCACATTTAAGCATTCAATTAATATTCTAATTAATAGCCTACACAATTTGTATCGTCTAACGTATAAAGTGCTTCATAATAATTGCCACGATATATGTTTTGTACTTTTATATAAATATCTAAGATAAGGGATGTGGTCGACGTATATATATATATTTACGAGATCATTAAACCGTATAATTATTCCGCTTACAGAAGTGCAAAGGCACAGTGTGCAAAGGAATACCAAAGCAAAGAAACACGCGACGAGTAATGTCGGCTCGTTGAAGTCAATTAAGTTATCGTCCGTGATCCGTTTGCCGTTTATGTGTCGGTTGCGTCGGGAGATTGCGGTTGTGTTACACGAATCGATATCTTTTACGAATTATAAATAATCATTATTAATTACGTTCAATTATCTTTTGCGAAGTAGAACCGGTATTAAATTGCGATTAACGCTGTCATGTAATAAACTTAGATTTAGCGAGCTATTACTGGATACAGGGCTTTATGTTACACAGATATTATTACTTTTTACACGTAATTAAGCGCCCTACCTAATTAAACTAATCTCGCCATATTATGTAATTGTAAATATGTTGCTCTGACCGATAAATAGTTGATTTAAGTTAATCGTACCTGCTTTCTACCGCGTTAATGTTTATCAGCGGACTTTGCGTATAAGAGTTACATATCTAATAAGTTGTTTATATATTGTCAATCGCCTTTTTTACTAAGTTTGAACTTTTTGATATACGCTAATATCGCAATACGTAACACAGAAGGACCTATGTTATGGTGATATTATAATGTTACATATTTAGTTGGATTATTATTTATAATAAGATATTGAAGCGGTCTAATTAATAAATATGCATTTTAAAAAACGGATTGTAATATAGACCCCCCATAGCTTCAGTACAATCATCATAATTATTCGGCTATTAATCAATATTGTAATAGCATCATACTGCATATGTTGAGTCTTTGTTCATAAGAACTGTACTAATTTTCTTCAATTTTAATTTATCGATTATAATAACTGTATTAAGCAATCTAAATTTTAAGATATTGTCTAATGGAGAATATATTGTACGTAACACTATCTTAGTTCATTCAATTTGAATTTGAAGCTATTATGTCAGTTGTTATATTTTGTTAAATAATAAAATATATGACACAGTAAAATATTCTCGAAAATTCTACGATTAAATAGATTATTATCTTTTGAATCCTAACCTCGATACCTGGAATACTATACTTTCTCTAATAAACTCTTGCAATAATCCACTCTTCAAAAAGGCATGAAAAGTCGATAGTCTAATGTATCGAAATCTCGAAAGTATCGAAGTGTATTGTTGCAGTTTTATCGCGACGCTGATTGGTTATCTCAATGTCATATGCGAAAAATATATTTTTACAGTTTATATTTAAATGGTTGTCAAAACAATATTGATCATGTGCAAAAAATATATTTTGACAGTTTATATTTAAATGGTTGTCAAGGCAATATTGATTAGCATTTATAAATGTTTCTATGACAATTATTTACATTTCCTCAAGCTGTCAAGTTGTATTCAAATAAAAAAGGAATTTAAAAATATGTAAAAAATTAGGACGTTAATTATAAATTTTTTTGCAAAATTATTTAGATATTTTTTACTTGTATATTTTTTCTAATTACCAAATATTTGGTAATGGGAACTAAATAATTTCGTCCTAATTACCAAATATTTGGTAATAATTACTAAATCATTTCGTCCTAATTACCAAATATTTAGTAATATTACCAAACCAGTTAGACCTAATTAAACATAAAAATATGGTTGGATCTACCACAATGGGTTATGGTCGATCCAACCATAAAATTATGGTTGGATCTACCACAATGGATTATGATCGATCCAACTATAAAATTATGGTTAGATCTACCACAATGGATTATGTTATTATAAATCATTTCGTCCTAATTACCAAATATTTGGTAATGGGAACTAAATCATTTCGTCCTAATTACCAAATATTTGGTAATGGGAACTAAATAATTTCGTCCTAATTACCAAATATTTGGTAATGGGAACTAAATAATTTCGTCTTAATTACCAAATATTTGGTAATAATTACTAAACCATTTCGTCCTAATTAACCATAAAATTATGGTTGGATCTACCACAACGGATTATGGTCAATCCAACTATAAAATTATGGTTGGATCTACCACAATGCATTATGGTCGATCCAACTATAAAATTATGGTTGGATCTACCACAATGGATTATGGTCGATCCAACTATAAAATTATGGTTGGATCTACCACAATGGATTATGTTATTATAAATCATTTCGTCCTAATTACCAAATATTTGGTAATGGGAACTAAATCATTCCGTCCTAATTTACCAAATATTTGGTAATAATTACTAAATCACTTTGTCCTAATTGCCAAATATTTGGTAATAATTACCAAATCACTTTGTCCTAATTGCCAAATATTTGGTAATAATTACCAAATCACATCGTCCTCATCACCAAATATTTGGTAATAATTACCAAATCACATCGTCCTCATCACCAAATATTTGGTAATAATTACCAAATCACATCGTCCTCATCACCAAATATTTGGTAATAATTACCAAATCAC